CAATTGTCTTGTTGCATTCATCAAGTTTTATTGTATACTGCAGGCCCCTTCAATGAAGAGGCCTCTGGTGATTGGTAGAGTCAAAGATGGGCTCTACATCTTGTGTCCAAGGTGCTTGAAGAACAACACTACAGGTCCTAGAGCAAGTGTCACTGACTTCATGTCCACTCCTATCACTCACTGCACTTGTAACACACAATGTCCACTCCACTCTGTTGTGAATATAACCCCTCATGCCAATAAGTGTGTTTCTTCATCCTCAATTGTAAATAGTCCAAGTGCAGGCAATGAAAAATAGTTTCCTTTTGAAAATTCTTTTTCTAATTGCTCTAGTTCTTCTTCTTATATGTGTGTTAAAGACCATGTGGATATTTTGTGGCATAACAGACTTGGACATGTTCCCTTTGTGAAAATGAAGAACATTCCCTCTATTCCTGTAACCTTTTCCTCCAAACAGCCCTTCAATTGCACCATTTGCCCAATGGCCAGATTCTTGAGCTCTTACACATTGACTTATGGGGACCATATCATGTGCCCACACATGACAAGTATAAGTACTTCATGACCATTGTAGATAATTTTAGCAGAACTACATGGACTCACCTTCTCTCTAGTAAAAGCAATGCTTATCAAGTCCTCAAAGGATTCCTCAATTTGGTAGAAAACCAATTTGGAGTAAAGGTTAAAGCTGTGAGAATAGATAATGGACTGGAGTTTACCAACACAGAAACAACCATGCTATTCCAGTCTAAAGGCATCATACATCAAAGGACTTGCCCTTACACCCCACAGCAAAATGGGGTGGTGGAAAGAAAACATAAGTATCTCCTTGAGACAGCCAGGGCTCTCCTCTTTCAGTCCAAACTACCCCAAAATTATTGGGGGGAATGCATTCTATGTGCAACCTTCATCATAAATAGATTGCCTTCCACTTCCATCAATAACCAAACTCCTTATGAACTGCTATACAAGAAAAAGCCAAAGTATTCTCACTTGAAGAGTTTTGGGTGTCTGTGCTACCCTACTGTACCTAAGCCCCATAGAGATAAATTTGAACCTAGAACAACACCACATGTCTTTGTTGGCTACCCTTTCAACACAAAGGGATACAAAGTCCTAAGTCTGGCCACTAGAAAAATCATTTTTTCCAGAGATGTCACTTTTAATGAGTATATCTTCCCATTTGCAACCAACTTAGACATGTGTCCCCAATCTAGTTCCTCCTTCTCAATTCCTTTCATTGAACCCTCTGACAGTACAGACAATACACAACAAACATCTGATCATTTGGATGTTCAAGGGGGTAATGTTGAGAACACAACTAATCTCATGTCACCTACACATGATCATTTGTCACCTAATTCTCCTGCACAGCCTTCACCACAGAGCTATATTGAACAATCTCCTGTAGAACCTATACAACTGAGACAGTCATCAAGAACACATAAAACACCTAGTTACTTACAGGACTATGTACATTCCCTGCCTAAGCTTGAGCCAAACACCAACACCCTTAGTGCATTATTTTCTGTGAACTACCATGTTGCCTCTGATCTACTAACCCCTAACAGTCAAGCTCTTGTGAGAAATGTTTGTCATGACAGGGAACCATCATCATATGAGGAAGCAACCATTGATCCTGCATGGCAAGCTGCAATGACACAGGAGTTTGAAGCTCTTTACTCCAATCACACTTGGAACTTGGTAGCTCTACCACCAGGAAAGCAAGCAATAGGGTGCAAGTGGGTTTATAAAGTGAAGCATAAAGCAGATGGTAGTATTGAAAGGTTCAAGGCCAGGTTGGTTGTGAAAGGCTACACACAACAGGTAGGAATAGACTACACAGAAACATTCTCCCCAGTAGTGAAGATGACAACAGTGAGAGCACTGATAGTCACAGCAGTAAAGAAAGGCTGGTGCATATCCCAGCTAGATGTAAACAATGCCTTTCTTCATGGGGACCTCAATGAGGAAGTATATATGCAAATCCCCCCTGGGCTTGTTGTGGACAAACCTGGACTGGTATGCAAGCTAAACAAGTCTCTCTATGGGTTGAAACAAGCCAGTCGATAGTGGTATGCAAAATTGACTGAGGCCTTATGCTCAAAAGGCTATACACACTCCATGAATGATTATTCTCTCTTTTACAAGAAGAATGGGCACTCATTGGTGTACCTTGCAGTGTATGTTGATGATGTATTGCTTACTGGAACTGATGAAGAAGAAATCGCACACTTGAAAGATTTTTTGCATGAAAAGTTCAAGATCAAAGACTTGGGGGAGCTACATTTCTTCTTGGGACTAGAGGTGATGTACAAAGATGATGGCGTGATCATATCTCAACGGAAGTTTGTACTGGACATGCTGAAGGAGTATAATTGCCTTGACTGTAAGTCATGTTCCTCACCTTTAGATCCTACAGTGAAGTTGAAAGCTAAGAAGGTGCCATTCTACAAGACCCTACATACTACAGGAAATTGGTAGAAAAGCTAAATTTCCTAACTAACACTAGGTTGGACATAGCATATGGTGCTCAGCACCTAAGTCAATTTATGCAGGAGCCTAGAGAGCCACACTTGAAAGTAGCCTTTCACCTCCTTAGGTATTTGAAAGGTGATCCTACTATGGGAATTTTCATGTCCACAGACAAATACTACACCATTAGAGCATATTGTGATGCAGATTGGGCTAGTTGTCCAGATTCTAGGAAATCCATCACAGGCTACTTGGTGCTTCTGGGAAATAGCCCTATTAGTTGGAAGCCCAAGAAACAAGAAACTATTTCACTGTCTTCCGCAGAATCAGTGTACAGGGCCTTAAGAAAAGTGGTGGGAGAACTAGTGTGGTTGAATAGGTTGTTTGAAGAACTAAGTGTCCCCTTTTCAATGCCTATTTCAGTATATTGTGACAGCCAATCTGCGCTTCACATTGCAAGGAATCCAGTCTTCCACGAGAGGACCAAGCACATAGAGGTGGACTGTCACTTTGTGCGCGACCAATTACAAGCAGGGCTAATCTCACTCCGCCACATTGGTACAGATGATCAATTGGCAGATATTTTGAGTAAGGCCTTGACTGGGATCAAGCATGGCACCACATTACGCAAGTTGGCTGTGTTTGCAACACCTCCAACTTGAGGGGGGGGGGGGATTGAGATTAATTATTGCTAATCATTTGCTCGTATTACCATTATTAGCTTAATTAGATAGTTGGTTAGTGGTTGAGTTAGTTAGTGGTTACGTTTGGACAGCTGTCCATCAGCTGGTTGTTAGTGGCTTAGGCTAGCTTCTCTTCTTCCTCCTAGCTTAGTCCGTTACTCTGTATATATATACACATACATGTGTGTAGTGAAGTTTAACATTTTCAGAAGCAATGAAATCGATATATTCTAGAATGTTCCTCCTCCATTGTCATGCAACTTTGAGATTGCAGATATGAGCATCCGCCATTGTTGCCACTACATTCCGAGCTGAGTTATTGAGAAAATTACTGTTCCATTGCTATATTTTAATAAGAGGGAGTATATTTTATGTAAATGTATCCAAAAAGAAGCATAATGGACAAAACTGGAGCAATCAAAGGGATACAGGTAGAAACTTAGTCAAATAATATAAAATCTACTTAGTCAAATAATATAAAATGGCAAAATTGAAATAATCAAAGGGATTACGGATCCAATTCTTGGAGTAACTGAGTAAATAATAATTAAAATAAGGTAAAGAAATTAAGAAAGGAGAAATTACAATATTTTGGCTATTTGTAAGTCAAAATATTGAAAAGATGCAACTGAACGAATCGAGATTTTGTATCTTGAATACTTGTTTTTGCAAAGATGCAACTTCATCGTTTCAAAATATAAGACTTAAAATAAATAATAATGAGACTTTTCTTTAGGCCTGCAGTTAGGATACGCCAAATTTTATCATCTTATGCATCATGGAAATCTAAAATTCCACCATTATCAGTTATAAATATAATAAAAGGCATATGATATTTCTTGCCGACTCCTCGATGATTGTAATTATAGAAGAGTTCGTACCCGGCAATAGAGTAGTCTTTGCGTTCCACGTATGCTTAAATGCAACGTAATTGAGAATTGAATTGACCTTCCCCTAATTTCGATCGCATAATCCAACATAGACGACATTCCATACCCTCGAGAGTGTATGATCGTGTTAGATCACTCATATATTTTTTTTGTCTTTATTTGACTCCAAAATGAGTCGGAGCGAAACGACTTTTCTGTTAATGTTCTTTGTGTTTGTATAAATTTCGAATTAGTTTTACTTCAAGTATGAGTTTATTAAAGGATAACTTGTATGTAGAGCTAAAAGCAGGTGAAAGAGTCTTTCATTTGTGAGGAATAACTTTGATTTGAATTTACAAGAAAAGAAATCAAGAAATTTAGACTATCAATGGTTTACTAAGTATACAATCTTAGTTGTTATATGTGAATATGTAGCCAAAAGGTAAATCTACCGAGGTAACTCTACTAAACATTTTCATCGAGTTGAGACATTTATGTGATTACTAGCTAACAAGTTTGAAAGGGTTATCTTGGTATTTGGCCTTCCGAATTTCCAAATAGTTTTCATATTTTAGATAATCAGTAAAATTAATTGACCATAACTTACTCAATATCATTAAGATAATAGTAAATTATCTGCTCAAAAGGTGATTTCTATACTTCATCATAAAACTATGTTAGAGGAAATTCCAATTGAATCAGATTAGACAATCTATATCAAACTGAAAAAGTGATTGACAACAAAAGAAGTACAATCCCTTCAACAAAGATTTCATAATACCAGATCGCAGCAACAACAGTTTCTTCTTATTACGAAAATTGCAAACTCGTACATTAATGTCAAATGAAAATTTAAGTTTTTTCTGTGTTATCCCTATCAATCCAAACACGACCATGTTCAGTGACTGTTTTCTACACATTATCATATCTTAACTTCCATAAGAAAGATACTGCAACGTCCTTGTCTTAGGTATTGAAGAAAATGAAAAACCCAACTTAAGGCTAATATTACACGAAAATACATCTGCCTTTGATAATAAAAAATTCACAATATCGTTCTTTTAGCTATTTTTATGGACAATTCACAGCATCATTTTACTTTTGAGTTTCAACTGTTCAAGAATTTGATCCTCGAGCTGAGGAAAATTTTCCTAGTGTCTATGGTATCAGTTCAAGACTACATAAATATGTTATTTAATGAACTCGCTGAGGCTAACACCGTCTCCACTGCTAACCGGTCGTAAGATAGGCATTCCAAGATCAAATGGTCCTAAAGAGTCTTCCTGCAAACAAACATAGGAAAGGGGTATGTTAACTTCTCCTGTTCCTTGACAAGAAGCAAAATTTCAAATGGAGACAAGTTTAGTTAAAGAGTGGAAAGTACCCATTTGATGCCCTTTAGGCCAACGCTGTTGTCTTCAGAACTCCCCCTTGGACGGGAAATGAGGGGTGTCCTGGGTTGCTGAGATGGTTGATCTTGTGCAATCACACTTTGAGTTGTGCGCTGTAACAACACCAGAATGTAAGAAATCGTCAATCCTTCCATAAGAACATCAAGAAGTTATGTTATAATGAAGGAAGCAAGATTAGGAAGCTCCACATTGAGAATTGATCACATGGAAGCAATATTATCAAAAGCCAAAAACTAATGATGGCTAAAATGAAGCTTTTTTAGTCTGAAAACCAGAAAAGATTGTAGAGCAACAAACCTCAGGAGCGCTAGAGGATGATGGAATTCTGAAAGATTTCGATCTTGTATACTCGTGACAATTGCCAGGACCATCTATTCCACACGAAGTAGTTGCATTTTCGTTTCCTGATGAAATTTTACGCACTGGAAATGCATGGCATGTCTCTTCAGCATCCAAGATAGACGAGTGCAATTCATGAGATGATGACTTTGAAATTTCAGAGTGTGAATTTAGGCGGGCAGCTATAAAAGCATCAAGTGAATCAGGAAAAGATGACGTAGGTTGTGAGCTTGGTTTGCCCTCAGTTCCTTGGTCATGATTTTTTACTTTTTCCAGCAGAGACACCTCAGATAGCAATCCTCCAATGCTCAAATTAGTGAGATTAAAATCCCATGAAAATTTTGACTCACTGTGCTGGCCATACTCTGACGTTTCCTTCAATCCAGATTTGCTTCCTTTTGAAGCTAAATTGTTACTAACCTTTCCTTGAGAAGATGCTTCAGAAAAGAAGCTTCCTGAGCTAATAAACGAAGCAAATGAAGATGGCTGCAATCCCACTCTGTTCTCTTGTTTCATTCCAGTAGACATCTTACCCTGCAAAGACACTTCAGACAGCAAGCCTCCAACACTAATATCAGAAACAAACTGGATTGGCTGCAAATCCATTTTAGTTTCCGAGTTGATCTTTCCTTGCAAAGATGCCTCAGACAGCAATCCGCCAATGCTTAAGTTGGTGAAAATATCATCCCATGGACTTACCATCTTTGCAGGGACATTTTGCTTTCTTGCTCCATCAACCTAGAAAGGAGGATCAAGGACCAAATTTAAGACATATATAGCCATTTATGATAGTAAAAATCATCTAGTTAGACCAGTCCTGGAGGCTAGATTCTAGAACACATGAAAATACAATCATAGAGGGTAGGGTAATCGTTAACAATTGATCTTACACATGCAGTAAAGGACCTCCAATTTTGTGGCAATTTCAACAATTAATTAATCTGTATTTTCATCCTATAAAAAAAAACATGCCAATTTTGTTTAAGCACACATCTCGAGCATTGAGTCTTCCCCAATTATTGTGACAGCGGTTTGCTTGACCTAGCCACAGCCTACAGGTTACATAAACACGACATATCCTAGGTTGTTTCTGTTGTCAGTTTATGCTGCATGCGGGGCTGTATACATCTTGCAGGACAAGCATACCAATTTCAGATTCAGAATATCCAAATCACCATAGAGTATTTTCGGAAACAAACAGTCCAATTGAGAGGGTTAGATATCCCAAGGAAACAGGTATCAGAATCCACTTTGATAAGCCTGCTTATAAAAAAACCCCCACTTAGGAATGCCTGAATGCAGAGGTACAGGAGCAAAGGTACATCTTTTATCGAGTTTGTCAAATTTTTTTAACATTGGATTTTAAATAGGAATTTGAGAAGTTTACCGGGCACCTGAGCCCATACTTCCTTGAACTGCAGTAAAACTTGAAATAAACTTGACATCCCAAGCAAATGATGTGCCTAACTGCCAGCCGATCAGCATTTAATAGGGTATGCCCACATATATTTGTTCATACATTGACAACATACTAAATCTGGACATTTTTTTACTTTCCTGCAAGTTCTTTCTCCCCAAGCCACTATACATCAGTTTTAATTCGCATAAGAAGAAATATCTGTAGCGAGGTATTTCTAATGCACTGGGATCTCATTTATAAATTACTTAAAGCTTTTGCAACTGGTAACTGTTAACAGTATCAGCAGTGCTGCCAGAGACCCCAGCAATCACAAGATATAAGGGGCAGCAGTATTTTGTTTTATGTTCAACTTTTTCAGCATAAGTTCCTAACTGAAGCAAACTAAAATCAGCAATATCGTAAATGGCATTAGATTGAACGACTGAGAAGATTTACAGAACAAGATATTAAACAAAAGAACCAGAAAGACATAATTACTTGCCATATTATCAACAGGTATGTTCAGAGGCATCTTCTGCTCATTCATGCAGATTGGTTTACTAAGCTCTTCATTTTTCAATTTAGCTCCTTCTACTTTGTCATTTCCAATGTCCATTGCAGCAGCAAAAATTCTCTTAATACCCCTTGATTGTGAATGAGTGCCAGAGGGAGGGGATATATCAGGTACCTCAGAAGCCTTAAGCTTAACATCAGAAAACCAGCCATACCTAGGAAATTGGAAGCAAAATTAAAACCTTTCGATTGAAGAGCTATATGCAAAAAAATGGAATCAGACCAGTCTAAAACCTTAAGCGAAAAATGGCAGGACTTTCTATTGCTGCATACACTTGTCCTGCAGAAATGTTGGTATCTTTTGAGCTCCATCGCTTCTCTGATGCCAAGTTTTCTGTATTAATATTATAGGGGAATAGAAAGAGCTCCCCCAACCCCACACTCGAAGAATTCCACTTCGTATTAAGGTGCTTAATCACTGATGATATCTTCTTGTGAGTACTTAAAGTAAGTTCCTGGAATGGATTGCAGCCATCCTACCAGAAATACCAAAACTATCAAGATTTAATTGGTGCACGTTACGCATAGTTCTATTCATTTAATGCATGAGTTATACCTTCTCCAATCTCTGTCGGGTACTTTTATTTATTGGAAAAAGCTGTAGCTTAATCTTCTTATGGGAATCAAGTTGTTGACTCCCAGTCCCTGCTGCATCATCTCCTTTTGTTACAGGGGAACAAGTCACCCTTCTGGGGAGTATTTGGCTAGATACTTTAGCAGCCTGTCCGGGCAAAATCCCATCATTTTCCCCAGCTGAAACATTTCTACATTCCCCTGGGAAGTACACAAGAAAAGTCATATGCCAGTTGAGAGATAAGCCAAACAAAATGGAACTCAATCAGCAATTGTCTACAGATTCATGTCAGCTGCCAAACCTGCTACATTCAGATGTTGCCGACCAATCCTACATGTTGCTTTCTTTGATCCAACATTCTCCTTGTCACTGTATTTTTCATGAACCTCACTTTTCTTTCTCTTCATCGATCGGCTAAATTTCTTGCACTGCAAAAGAAGTTTAAAAACTCAGTATTTCCATTTATTTTTACTTCAGAAATCACATGTCATTCAACAAATCTTCTTATTTTGTATGACATGGCATTTATCAAATCTTTGAGAACAGCAGACTTGAAATATTCAGTTCCTATAGAAGCACCAAATGAATTAAATCAACATCTACTTCTTGTAATGTCAATAATTCAAACAATATTAAGGAAAACCAAAGTCAACATTAAGCAGTGTGTTTTCAGTCAAGCAAGTTCCACCAGCAGCAAGTCTAGCGATGATTCCTCTCATCTGATTTTCAAAGACACACTGTAGCAATAAAAAAATAAGAACATATATAATGGGTGGTAAATACTTCTTCATTGACCTTGTCCAAACCTGCAAATGAAGCATATAGTCCTAGCGTTATTTATCTCACCTTTCCAAGTTCTCATAACCCTATACTTTCTCCACTAAAATGCTACTACTTGAATATTAAACAATAATCTGTGGATCAATTCCGATACTTGTATCTAGAACACTTTCAAGCCCCGCGGTCTTCTGACTAAAGCTTTTCCATTTAGAGAATGAAACTAAAAAGGGCAGCCCGGTGCACTAAGCTCCCACTATGCGCGGCGTCTGGGGAAGGGTCGGACCACAAGGGTCTATTGTACGCAACCCTACCCTACATCTCTGCAAGAGGCTGTTTCCGTGGCTTGAACCCGTGACATCCTGGTCACATGGCAGCAACTTTACCAGTTACGCCAAGGCTCCCATTCTAATTTAGAGGATGAAACTAAAGCTTTAAATTGCAACAGAGAGAAATACCTACTGAATCTCATGCAAAGCCGACTTCTATGAACCTTGTTCAAGTAACTCTTCTTCTACTCTCATAGTCCTAATTAATGTGATAGTCTTTTTATTTTAAAATGTCCTAAAACATCTGACATTATTTTGCAGATAATTTTATTCTAAATCATTTTTACAACTTTCAAGAATTCAAATTTTGAACTTTGAAGTGATGCTTTTCTCTATCAAACTAATTTCTCAACCACCGTAACATTTAAGTCAGGGTCCAATTAAACACTGTTAAATAGACGGCGCAATTGAGTATTTCTTCTCACTAGCAGACAACATTTTCCTTCTCCTCTTTCCTTATTTTTAACATCTTCCAGCTAAAGGGCAAGAAATTACCAAATTACTGTTTTCTTTAAGAAGCAAGTTATAACAAAACTGAATCACATCAATGGAAAGAAACAAGAGAGATATTCTCATACCAAATTCCAATTGAAAATCTTTCAATTCTAAAGTGGCAAATTGAGATTCAAAGAAAACGAAGCAGCACAAATTGCTTTTTTTATTTTGACGTGATATTTTCTCTATCAAACTAACTCTCATTACAACTGATATACTCCCACGCCGTCTAGTTTATGTAGAAATATTTCTGTTTTGTTCCGTCTCAAAAGAATAGTAGCTTTCCAACTTTGAAAACAATTTAACTTAGACTTCCAATAGCCTTAATGACACAAAATATTTACGACAAGTTTAAAACCACAAATTTAAAAAAGTCTTATGGTCACATAAATATTATGACGAGTTTCAAAAGTTTTGTTAAAATTAGTATCCTGGCAAACTATTCCACATATATTAAAACGGAGGGAGTAATACATAAGTCAAATTAACATATTAGAATCGACATCTAATCAAACAGCATCAAATAAAATGGGACGGAGAGAGAATTAACTGTGACCACAGGCATCAAGTTCCTTCTCTTTTCTCCTTACACCTCTTCCAAAAAAAAAAAAAAGAAACAAGGACTGAAAAGTTGAATTGCATGAGCACCTAAGGGCGTGCCTAATGATCAATGAAATGGGATGAGAACCATAAGGTCTCAAGTTCAAATCTCAACGGAGGCAAAAAGCACTAGGTGATTTTTTCCTATCTGTCTAAGCCTTGGCGAGCTCCGGTACCTGTGCTGGTAGAAGGTAGCAGGAAACCGGTGGAATAGTCGAGGTGTGTAAACTGGTCCGAACACCACCAGCCATAAATAAATACAGACTGAATTACATCTATCGGTTGAACCAACAGAGACATTTTCATGTCGATTCCAATCGAAATTCTTCAAATTCCGAAGGGCAGGTTCAAATTTGCATAAAAAACTAGGGTTTTTGATCTTCGATTAAGCATTAATAGATACAAACAAATTAACAACGTAGATATACACATAACACTTCCGATTGAAGAAAATTCAAATTCAGATCTTCGAATTACACTTCATTCAATAGATTCAAACTCTGAGCGGACTCAATAATAAAATTAAACTAAATATAAAGATGAAAGAGAAAAATTCAAGCTTGCCTGGAAATACGAATAGTGGGCGGGAATGAGATTTTGAGAGAGAAAAACAAACTCACCAGTCACGTTTAGCTGATGAAAGATTTTTAGCGCTTTTTCAATCATCCAGTTGCATGTTTAGCTGGCCTTCCTTTGTGCGTGGTGGTACAAAGCCCAGACTCTATGACTAGGCCTTATAGTGGCCCAAAAGACTACTAATTATAGAATTTAGCCACGTTTTAATGACTTCGGCCTTTAGTATTCTCTTTCTCCTTTACGGCTCGTTTGGATGGTTATGTATCGTTTTATAATGTATCGTGTAATATTATATTATATTATATCGTTTTGATGTATACAATGATTGGAAAGATTGAATCGTTTGTCGTTGTTTCATAATATCATACACAAAAATATTTTAAAAAACTCATAATATTATAAATAAAAAATAATAATATACGAGGTAGAATTATTTTATAAAAAGGTAAGATAAAAAATAAAATAAGATTATTTAATAATAAGAAAGGGTAAGATGAGAAAAAAGAAAAAGTAACGACGCGACCACACCAAATTAAAGGTCGTTCTATAAAGTGACACTTTTCGTCATTATGTGACGACGAATTTAACGATACGATACATTAAGATTTAAGTATCAATCAAAACAAATATTGTATTTAAAGTAACAATACGATACACACTGCTAGAAATTAGGTCTATGGCAACCCTTCCAAAATCGTGGCAATAGATACACTAGCCGTCCCTATAGGGCTATCGGAACGGATTTGGAGGCGTCCCTATAAGGGTTTCATTCGGCCAAGTGTATCACCTTGGGGTGCTCCTGTCTTGTTTGTGAAGAAGAAGGATGGTTCTATGCGCATGTGTATTGATTATCGCCAGATGAACAAGGTTACAGTGAATAACCGTTATCCTTTTCCTCGTATTGATGACCTGTTTGATCAGTTACAGGGTGCTCGTGTGTTTTCTAAGATTGATTTGCGTTCAGGCTATCATCAGTTTAAGATTCGAGAGCCAGATATCCGAAGACTGCCTTCAGGACTCGGTATGATCATTACGAGTCCTTGTTATGTCATTTGGGCTGACCAATGTCCCAACAACCTTCATGTATTTGATGCACAGTGTATTCCGGCCATATCTTGACTCATTCGTCATTGTCTTTATTGATGACATTATGGTATATTCCCGGAGTTGGGAAGATCATGAGCAGCACCTGAGGACAGTACTTCAGACTTTAAGAGAAAAGATGTTATATGCTAAGTCCTCGAAATGTGAGTTTTGGTTGGATTCCGTGGCATTCTTGGGTCACGTAGTATCTAGTGAGGGGATAAGGGTGGATTCGAAGATAGTAGAAGCAATACAGAGTTGGCCTAGACCATCCTCAACTACAGAGATCCGCAGTTTTCTTAGCTTGGTGGGTTATTACTGTTGATTTGTTCAGGGATTTTCATCTATTGTAGCACCTATGACCAGGCTAACCCAGAAGGGTGCTCCGTTCTAATGGACGGAAGAGTGTGAGGAGAGCTTTCAGAAGCTCAAGTCAACTCTGACTACAGCTCCAATTTTGATATTGCCTATTGGTTCGGGGTCTTATAATGTCTATTGTGATACCTCGAGGGTTGGCCTTAGAGCGGTATTGATGCAGGACGGTAGGGTGATTGCCTACGCGTCCAGACTGTTGAAGGTACATGAGAAGAATTATCCTGTCCATGATCTCGAGTTAGCTGCTATTGTTCACGCCTTAAAGATCTGGCGTCATTATTTGTACAGTGTGCCTTGTGAGATTTATACTGATCACCGGAGTTTGCAACATCTGTTCAAGTAGAAGGACCTTAATTTGCGCCAGAGGAGGTGGTTAGAGCTGCTGAATGACTATGATATCACTATTTTGTATCACCGGGCAAGGCCAATATAGTGGCCGATGCCTTGAGTTGCCGGGCAGAGAGTTTGGGAAGTTTGGCTTATTTACCAGCAGCGGAGAGGCCCATGGCGATGAATGTTCAGGTCTTAGCTAGCCAGTTTGTGAGATTGGATTTTTTGGAGCCCAGTTGGGTCCTTGCTTGTGTGGTTTCTCGGTCTTCCTTGTTTGATCGTATTTGGCGGCATCCGTTTGATGACCCTCATTTGCTTGTCCTCAAGGACAAGGTTCTGCGAGGTGAAACCAGAGATGTTACCATCGATGATGACGGGGTATTGAGGATGCAGGGTCGGATTTGTGTACCCAATGGGCTTCGAGACTCGATTCTAGAGGAGGCCCATAATTCGCGGTATTCCATCCATCCGGGTGCCGCGAAGATGTATCAGGATCTGAGATAGCATTATTGGTGGAGGAGGATGAAGAAAGATATTGTGGAATTCGTAGCTCGGTGTCTCAATTGTCAGCAGGTGAAATACGAGCATCAGAGACTGGGTGGATTGCTTCAGCAGATAGAGATTTCGGAGTGGAAGTGGGAGCGGATCACCATGGACTTCGTAGTTGGGCACCCACGGACTTTGAGGAAGTTTGGTGCCATTTGGGTGATCGCGGATTGGCTGACCAAGTCTGCGCACTTCATTCCTATGTGTACCACCTATTCTTCGGAGTGGTTAGCAGAGATTTATATCCTGGAGATTGTCCGTCTGCACGGTATCCCAGTCTCCATTATTTCAGATAGAGGTACTCAGTTCGCATCATGGTTCTGGAGGGCCGTACAACATGAGTTGGTTACTCGGGTAGAGTTGAGCACAACATTTCACCCCAAGACGGACGAACAGTCCGAGCGCACATTCAGATTCTTGAGGATATGCTCCATGCGTGTGTGATGGAGTTTGGAGGTTCTTGGGATCAGTTCTTGCCATTGGCTGAGTTTGCTTACAACAACAGCTATCAGTCCAGCATTAAGATGGCACCGTGTGGGGCCTTGTATGGTAGGCGGTGTAGATCCCTGATGGGTTGGTTCGAGCCGGGCGAGGCTAGATTATTGGGCACAGATTTAGTACAGGATGCTTTGGAGAAGGTTAAGGTGATTCAGGATAGGCTCCGTACAGCCCAGTCCAGACAGAAGAGTTATGCGTACCGGAAGGTTCGTGATGTTTCCTATATGGTTGGAGAGCGGGTCTTGCTACGGGTTTCGCCTATGAAAGGTGTTATGAGATATGGGAAGAAAGGGAAATTGAGTCCGAGGTTCATTGGGCCTTTTGAGATATTGCAACGTGTTGGGGAAGTTTCTTATGAGCTTGCCTTACCTCCCAGCTTAGCAGGAGTTCATCCGGTATTTCATGTTTCGATGCTCCGGAGGTATCACGGTGATCCATCGCACGTGTCGGATTTCAGTTCAGTCTAGTTGGACAAGGATCTATCTTACATTGAGGAGCCAGTGGCGATATTGGACAGGCAGGTTCGGAAGCTGAGGTCAAAGAACATTGCATCAGTGAAGGTCTAGTGGCGAGGTCAGCCGGTCGAGGAGGCGATTTGGGAGACCGAGCAAGATATGCGCAGCCGTTACCCTCATCTTTTCACTACTTCAGGTATGTCTCTATACTCGTTCGAGGACAAACGGATGTTATAAGAGGGGGAGGATGTAACGACCCGGCCGATCGTTTTAAGAATTAACGCCCCTTTCCCCTATTAACTGCATTTCCCGTGTTTGTTTTTGCTATTGTGAGTCGTTGGGAGGATTCGTTTTAAGTTTCGGAGTATTTTTAGATACTCAGTCCCTAAATGAGAGCTTAAGCTTTAGAATTTGGACCGTAATCGGAGTAGTGTGAAGACGGCTTCGGAATGGAATTCCGCCGATTCCGTTAGCTCCGTTGGGTGATTTCGGGCTTAGGAGCATGTTCGAATTATATTTTAGAGGTCCGTAGCTTAATTAGGCTTGAAATGCCGCAAGTCGAATTTTTGAAGTTTCCGGTTCGATAGTGAGATTTTGATATCGGGGTCGGAATGGAATTTCAGAAGTTGGAGTAGGTCCGTGGTGTCATTTAGGACGTGTGTGCAAAATTTCAGGTAATTCGGATGAGGTTTGATAGACTTTATGATCAAAAGAGGAAAAATTTGAAGTTTTGGAATCCTTAGGCTTGAATCCGAGGGTGTTTTGATGATTCGATGTTGTTTTGAGTGTTCCGAAGGTTGGGACAAGTTTGAATATTGGTATAGGACTTGTTCGTATTTTTGGTTGAGGTCCCGGGGACCTCGGGATAATTTTGGGAAGGTTCTCGTAAGATTTGGAAGTTGTTTGGAGCAGCTTCAGCTGCTGATCTTCTGTCATAACCACACTTACGGTTGGGGACCGCAGGTGCGGAGCCGCAGAAGCAGCGTTGGCATCGCAAAAGTGGAAAAGGGGAGAGCTAGCAGAGACCGCAGAAGCAGAGGCTTCATCGCAGAAGCAGCACCGCATCTGCGTAAATGTGATCGCAGGTGTGGAAGCTGGGCTTTAATGAAAATTCGCAGGTGCGACTTGGTCTACGCAGAAGTGGGACCGCAGGCGCGGTCCCAGAGCCGCATATGCGGTTTCACTGATCAGAAAAGGGGCAGAATCAAGGGTTACGTTTCAAAACCTTAGAAATTGATTTGAGAGCTCGGGATTGGCGATTTTGGGAGAGATTTTCACCTGAGTGTTTTGGGTAAGTAATTCTTACTCGGTTTTGATTAATTCCCACGAATCCATGCTTAAATTCATCCTTTAAATTCGAATTTGGGGTGAAAATTTGGAGAAAAATTGGAAACGTTCTTAGGCCTAATTTTGGAGTTTTCATCAAGATTTTGATGTATGATTGGAGTAATTTTGTATATATGAACTCGTGAGAGTATGAGGATTCCGAATTTATAAATTTTACCCGATTTCGAGACGTGGGCCTGGGAGGCTTTTTGGGCGATTTTCCTAATTTCGCGTATTAGCTTCGCATTAATTAGCTGAAGTAGTTACTTGAAATTATATTTACAATATGCAATTACTTTGAATAGATTTGGGCCATTTGGAGTCGGATACTCGTGGCAAGAACGTGGTATTGAGTTAATTGAGCTGGTTCGAGGTAAGTGGCTTGCCTAACCTTGTGTGGGGGGACTCCCCCTAGGAATTGTAGTGTGATATATGAAATGCCTTGTACGTGGGGTGACGAGTGCGTACATGTGCTAATTGTTGAAAATCCTA